GCCTCCCAAAGTGCTGGGATTACAGGCCTGAGCCACCGCGCCTGGCGTAGAGTTTGGAATGTTTATCATTTTGGAATTGGGCTTGGTTGCTGACTACTTATCTCCTAGTTGCTCTTCAGTTTAGCTTCTACCTCAGACTCTCCATTGGACCTTTTGTTACCCAAATTACCACTTCCTCGATGCTAAATCTAATTGACCATTGTCTGTCTTGACTTCTTAACAACACTAAAAAATGTTGCCCATTCCTTTCTTATCATGCCTTTATTTTTTCTCCTAGCTGTCTAGCCCTTCTTTCTCAGTCTCCTTTGTGAGTTCTTTTTTTCTCCCTTAAATGTTGTGGTTCAGGGTTTAGAGCTGGTCACTAGGTGTACCTTCTCCCTAGGCACTCTCAAGCACTCATATGGCTTCACATACCATTCATGTTTGCTCTTCTGAGCTCCAGAGCCATATATCCAACTGTCTTCTGGATTCTCCACTTTGATATCCCACAAGCATCTCACATTCTAATCTCATCTCACATCCTAACACATTCTAATCTTTTCTCCCAAACTTGCTCCCTCTCAGTGGATGGCATCTGCCAAGCCAGAGTCTAAGGCACCATTTTTGGCTTTTCTGTCTTCTTCTGTCTCAATATTCAATCACTAAATCTTAACAGTTCTACATACTAAGTAGCCAAACCTCCAAACCGCTCCACTTTTCTCCATCTCCTTGGCCACCATCATCTCTTGTCTAATGAAGACAGCAGTGTCCTAACAGGCCTCTCTGCTGCCACCTTCCAATCCAGTTTCCATTTTGCTCACCTCTAAATCACGGATCTGATTATGTCACACACCTGTATGAAACTCTGCAGTGCTTCCCCATTGTTGGAGACCCACCACAGGGCCCTGAGGCGCTTCCTCTGGGGCCCATCACCCATCACTGCCCTGTCCCTTCCAGTCATGTTGAATTGCAGTGCCCTGAACACGCTGGGCTCACATGCCATTCTCTGTGCTAACACGCACTTCTCCCTCCTTTCCTCTGACAATGCCTTGCCTTCAGTTCTCTGCAGATCTGCCAGCTACCCTGCTGTGGATACTGGGTCCTGTGGTACTGCCCCCATGCCCCCAAAACTGCCCTTTCCCACTCACTGCACCTGTTGACTTGTTTCAGCACTCACATTCCAATTGGCAGTCACTGTTCATTCCTGTCTCCTCTACTGGCTTATCCCCACAGCCTCACTAGATGGCATTGTTGCATGCCTAGTGCCTCGCAGTGCAGGTGCCCCATACATGGCTTGAAGGGGATGAATGAATCATCCCTTCAAAGAACACTCCAGTTGAGGACCCAGTTACACCGCACCACCTCCAGCTTCTCTTCAGGTCAGTTTCTTCTTCCTCTCTCACTTCTGTATTAAAGCTCTCTGGCTTATTAATTTCCTTAAAACTACCAAATAATTACATCATTTCTCTATTCAAAAATAGCAAAGGGCTCCCTGTAGCCATTAAAAGATTTGCATTTTACCACAGAATTAGAGATCCAGAGCAGGAGTGAGGGTAGGAGGGCGGGGAGAGGAGAACTGAGGGGCTTTTTTCTTTCTAAAGTCAAGTATTTTAGGTATAATTTACATACAGTAAAACAGACCCTTTTTAGTTGTGTTGTTCTATGTATTTGACAAATATATAGTATGCTGTAACCACATCAAATGTATATTTCCATCACAGTGGAAAATTCTCTGTGCTGCCCCTACTCCTAGGCCTTGGCAGCCACTTTTCTGATTTTCTTCCCTATACTTTTGCCTTTTCCAGCATGTCTTTTCTTTCACTCAGCATAATGCTTTGATATTCAACAACATGTTGCATGTACCAGTAATTTGTTCCCTTTTTGTTGCTGAGTCTTTTCCACTGTGTGAATGCAGGACAATTTATTCATTCACCAGTTGGACATTTAGACTGTTTCTACTTTCTGGAGATTATGAAACTGGTATAATTATTTGTGTAAAAGTCTTTATGTAGGTGTGTTTGTATTTGTCTTAGGTGGGATTGTGGGTCTTATGGTAAGTTTAACTTTATTAGAAACTATTAAATTGGACCAGGAGAGTCTTATCCAAATCATTGAAGAGGGGCTGACACTACACAAATTTGAAACCATGTGTTAATCCAAACACCCAGATAAGCAAGTCCAGCTGTGGGAACCCAGTAAACACCAACTGCTGAAGCCCAGAGTGTTTGAGGGGAGGCAGTAAAATGGAGACAGCACTGCCTTGGGAGCTTGGACATGCTGTGCACACTGTTCCCTCCCATGGCATGCTGGTCACTCAGTGGCCTTGGAAACATTGTCTCAGGTTCCCAGGCCATGAATCTCTCTCACCAGGCCATTTGTAACATGGATGGTTAGATGTTAATGTTTACATACACAAAACACAAATTAATAAAATCAACGTGTGTGTGTGTGTGTGTGTGTGTGTGTGTGTGTATTGGGGGATTGGGGGACTGTAATATTTACACAAAAAGAAACAAATGACTTGAACTATATTTCAAATAAATAACATACACAGAAAGGGGGAAAAAACCCAGGTAACTGTGACTATTTAGAAGGCCTTTCCTTCTGTGTTCTGGAGGAGGCAAAAAAAGTTCAGCCTGTTTCAGAAATCTGTTGCTTAGCATTAAGAGAATGAGCGTGGCAACTGTCTGAAGTTCATTTCTTACGAGTTGACACATTCCATGCAAGTACCAAGAGACATAGGAAAGCCCTATAGGCAATTTCTCAAGGGAAAAAAAATCAGGCAAATCTCAGAATTCTTCAAAGTCAAGTCATCCAGATATTTTCTGGAGTTAACATCCTTCCAGTAGAACAAGTACCTGCCAGCCTTGGGACCCCTCTACTTAGCTCAACCTGCAGTGCCTTCCCCAAACAAGCTGACAAGACTGGCTCCTTTATGCCCATCAAGTCTTCTTCAAATGTCAGCTTATCAGAGTGACCATCAATTCACATGCCCTACTAGGCTTAATTTCTTTACAGCACTTATTATCTGGATTCATCTATATATCTTGTCTGCCTGCCCAACCAGAACACTAGCCTCTTCGGGGAGGGACATTATAGGTTTTATTCATTTGCGTATCCCCAGTTCCTAGGACAGTGGCCATTCTATACATCCTAAGCACTAACTATTCATTGATGATTTACTGATATACATGTGTACAGGGATCTGTTTCTCATGGTGAATGAACACGCTTGCAGTGTGGTAGATAAAACATAACCAAATTAAGTGGCAAACAGGATGACTTTATGATAATAAATAAATTCTGTTTATTTTTTTCTCTCACATAGTTCAAGAAACCAGACATTAGTGTAAGTTGGAGAACATCTGAGTTTGAAAACAGGTCTTTGCCTTAATGGATTGTTGACTAGAAAATCAGAGGCTGACATTCAAATAATATGTTCTGAAGTGTTGTACAACACTTCCAGAAAGACTTCAGCAGACCAGATATTTAAACCATTTTATACTCAGAAGGCCTCTAAATTTCCCACAACATCCTACCAACAATTGCAAATTCTTTTTTTGTTTTTTTGAGGCAGGGTCTCACCCTGTTGCCCAGTCTGGAGTGCAATGGTGCAATCATAGATCACTGCAGCATCCAACTCCTGGGTTCAAGCAATCCTCCCACATCACCCTCCACAGTAGCTGGAACCACAAGTATGCACCACCACAACCAGCTAGTTTTAAAATTTTTTAATAGAGACAGTGTCTGGCTCTATTGTCCAGGCTGGTCCCAAACCCCTAGGCTCTAGCAGTCCTCCAACTTCAGCCTCCCAAAGTGCTGGGATTACAGGCATGAGCCGCTGCATCCAGCTACAGATTAATTCATTCATTCGTTCGTTCTTTATTTTAAGACTAGTGAAGTGCAGTAGTGAGAAGAGGGGAAGAGTAGAACAAGGAGCTTGACCTATAACTGACTGTGAACAATCAATTGAGCTAACTCACTACCTTCAGACCAGCCAAAAATTCATTTCTTTAGAAAAAAGATGAGAATTATTTTCTAAAAACTAAGCAATGGAACCCCTTCAATGGGTAAAGGGAGGTAAAGTTAACTGAATGGCCTTATTCCTACATATTCAAGTTTTATCACAGTTGTAAGGTCTGGTAAATTTTAGAGTAGCGCTTCTTAAGCAAGGGGAGCGAGGAGAGGTACATTCCATTAGGAATGTGCCACCCTCACCACCATAGCCTTTTTTGAGACAATGCCATGGTGAGCAATTGTTACCAATGGGAATGTGTCACATCTCTTAAGTGTAGTGAGACACTTTTTAAAAATTGAGACCCATTCCAGTGAGGTCTTCAGCTGACCTCTGCCAACCTTTTAGACTTTCTGAAATGGCTTGGATGAAATTATACTCACATTAGACATCTAATGCCTATCACTTAATAATAATTAATATATTTGAACCCTTTCTCATTTTGCAGTGGAAACTTTCACATCAGTGTGCTGCAAACTGTTGTAGAATTCTGATTTATAACACTGTCCCCAAAAGTATATAATGGGACTAAAGTTTACCAAACTTACTAAAAATGTTATGAAACACTGGGTGTTATTTTGTTGATTTAACATTTCATTTTCATCATTAATCATGTGAAAAAGCAACATAAGCAAAGATTAAATAATCTAAAAATCCTTCAAATTGATCACTCATTACTTCATTTCTTACTGAGCTAAACATTATTTTGTTATCTATAAAGTAGAGAATTTAAAACAATGTATGTCTTTGGCATTACTAGAAAGGGATATTTAAACTTTGTACCTTTTGTTGCCATAAAATTGAAGTTACAGTAAGATGAAATGGAAGCCCACGGCCCTGTTGGTATGGAATTCCACTAATAATGTCAGATTGTTGCCAAAAAAACAAATTTTGTCATGCAGCTTGCAATTAATGTACCAAAAATTTACCAGCCCATACAGTTTTATCATCTGCCTTCCCCAGAGGAAGTAAACAGATAATAAAACTAATGAAATCATATTTCTTGACCACTCTTATCCAATATAAATTGTTACTTGTCCTTAGAGGATTAGACAGTGAGCTATTTACAAGGGCATTCAAATGTCTGGGCTAGTTAATGGTAGAAGCAGTAGTCTAAGATGTGGGGTATTCCTGAGTCAGCAAAGAGGATCTTGCATTGTGAGGAAGGCCCCCTAAGTCATTAACAAGTGCAGATCAGGGTTTGATGGGCCTCTGTCAAAAGTGTTTTGCATCCGCATTTCTGTGTTCCCTGAAAACACCATGAAATACTGAACTTTAATCAGTAATACAACAAATGAGAAAATGCTCAGTGTTTTAGAACTATTCAGAGCAGAAAACTCTGGAACATAAAATGGGGGGGGCGGTACGCCTTAGTTGGTGAGTTGCTAAAACTTGAGATCAGGTGAAGCGAAGGTGATAGGTCCAATGCCTTCTGGAATGTGTAACACCAGCAGTTCTTCAAGTTTGGCCTCTGGCCCTCCTGTATTAGAACCATCTGGGAGACTTGCTCCAGTGCAGATCTCCTCTACAAAACCTACATTTAACCTAGTGAAGCAGAACCCCCTGGTTTTCCCCAGGAGTCTGCATTTGTCACAAGCTTCCTAGATGTTTCTGATTCACAGTAAAGCTTGAGAACATTATATGTGACCATCCCACTGGCAAGGTCATTAACATCTTATGCATATGGATACTGAATTTTGCAGCATATTTGAAATCTTGAAGCAATATCAAATGTATGACATCCCCAAATATAGTAATTTCCTTTGGTTTAAAAGGTGGCAGATGAGCACAACCAATTGGGATTAACTCAGCCAATTCTTAGAGTTTAACACATTTTACCTGCACCGAATAATACTTTGCAGATCAAACTGGCAACCAGAAAACAGCATAACAGAACACATGACACCCTGCTGTGGATTTTTAAGAAAAAAACTGACGAATTCCAAATCCATAATGACATGAGAACTTGCACTTTGAAGGCAGAATGGACTTGTGGGAAGACAGGACTCCCCTTTTGTTCTCCCTTCACTAGGTGGAGAAGGGAAGAAGGTCTCTCCCCAAACAGCTCTCTTCATTCTGGAATGTTTTCCCAGTCCCCAAGGCGCTCAGTGACCAACTTCCTTTCACAGGTCCTCCCAGTGACTGACCTGACTCATTCTCCCGAAGAAGTCAACAGGCCACTACGAGAGCTCTTGAGAGAAGCTTTGTGACATGAAATTCATCAAATGAAGCAAGATTCATTTTTTAAAAATATTACAAAGCTCCAGGGTAATATGCTTAATCCAATTGTTTAAATAGAATAAAAAACCCCATTTTAAGTAAATTTAAAATTAATGAAATATCAGTAGTTTGCTTTAACAAGGACTTGCTTGAACCATGTTCTCCTTTTAAAATCACACACACAGAACCAGTGTACATTTGGAGAAATTTCGCCAGCTGAATACCTTTTTGACATGAATTCATTCAAAAGACACCAACCATTATGAATATTTTAGGCCATGGTAAGTTGTAACCGCCTCCGGCTTGGTGTTGCAGCTTTATGTTGACATTTGGCATGAAAAGCTTATGGTCTGAGTCATGTTTCTTTTTTGTGTAATTCTGGCTTGGGAATCCGATACAGAGCAGCTGAGAAATAAATTATGTTGCTGAGGCTGAAGATGATGCACAGAAGTATGGCTCCGGCTATCTGAGAGAAAGAGAAGGGCTTGGAGGTGGCTAGGAGCCATTCCTTCCTCAGAGTCTTGTCCAGAAGTATGGCTTCCATCTGCATATGCGTGGCCAGGATCACACACACGTGAAACAGCTGGTGACTGTGACCTATGGCAAACACAAAAGGCCGTCAAGATCAGCAATGAAAAGGAATGAGTACTGGCTGGGCGCGGTGGCTCAAGCCTGTAATCCCAGCACTTTGGGAGGCCGAGACGGGCGGATCACGAGGTCAGGAGCGGTGAAACCCCGTCTCTACTAAAAAATACAAAAGACTAGCCGGGCGCGGTGGCGGGCCCCTGTAGTCCCAACTACTCGGGAGGCTGAGGCAGGAGAATGGTGTGAACCCGGGAGGCGGAGCTTGCAGTGAGCTGAGATCCGGCCACTGCACTCCAGCCTGGGCGACAGAGCGAGACTCCGTCTCAAAAAAAAAAAAAAAAAGAAAAGGAATGAGTACTGATACATGCTATGGCATGTATGCTAAAAATGATGCTAAGTGAAAGAAACCAGACAGGAGACCACATATTATATGAAATCTCCAGAATATGCAAATCCATAAAGACAGAGAGTAGATTAGTGGCTGCTTCAACAGGGGGTGAGAATAGGGATTAACAGTGCATGGGTCTGATGGAGGGGATGAAAATGTTCTAAAACTGATGTATGGTGAATTTACTGAAAATATCATTAAATTGTATACTTGACATTGGGGAATTATTGAATATATGATATACACCTTAATAAATTTATTTTTAAGAAGCAATATGGGAAAAATAAAAGGTCCATCAGAGAAAACCAAATCCAAATTCTTTTTTAAAACAACTATCCACCAGTCTCATTTTTCAGATGAAAAAATTAGGCACCAAAGGTCATCTCTGGAGAGCCAGCACTGATCAGCTCAGAGTTTCATTCAATGCTCAGGGAGAAGCTGGCTGAATTTTCTGTTGGCCACTAACCAAGTAGACCTCTCCCTACTGCCAGTTAGTCACAGATATGACTAGGATTCTTCCTCGCCAATGCCATGCTGGACCCATCTTACATGGTGCTCATCACAGAGCCTGGGAGCAGAGTAGAGGGTAGTGGGAGTGACAGGGACAGGGACATGCTGGGTGGTTGGTGGTTGGCGAGGAAACAAGTCCAATGCCTAGGGTCAGGGGCAGCTTTGGGGGACAACCCTCAGACCCCAGGAGTAAGGAGGAGATCACATGTGTCATGGGCTGAATGATGTCCCTGAAAAATACATGTGCTGAAGTCTTAACCCCCAGAATGAGACCATATTTGCAGATAGGATCTTTAGAGAAATAATTAGGTAAAAATGAAGTCTTTATGATGGGCCTAATCCACTGTGACTGGTGTCCTTATAAGAAAAGGAGGTTAGGCCAGGCACGGTGGCTCACGCCTGTAATCCCAGCACTCTGGGAGGCTGAGGCGGGCAGATCACGAGGTCAGGAGATCAAGACCATTCTGGCTAACATAATGAAACCCCATCTCTACTAAAAATACAAAAATTAGCCGGGCGTGGTGGCGGGCACCTGTAATCTCAGCTACTCAGGAGGCTGAGACAGGAGAATGGTATGAACCCGGGAGGCAGAGCTTGCAGGGAGCCGAGATTGCACCACTGCACGCTCGCCTGGGCGACAGACAGAGACCTCTGTCTCAAAAAAAAAAAAAAAAGGAGGTTAGGACACAGACATGCATGTATACAGAGAAAAAGATCATGTAAAGACAGATGGAAAGAACGGCCATCAACAAGCCAAAGAGGAGGCCTCTGGAGAAACCAACTCTGCCAACACTTTGATCTCAGATTTCCAGCCTCCAGAATTGTGAGAAAATAAATTTCAGTTGTTTAGGCCACAACAGTCTGTGATACTTTGTTATGGCAGCCCTAGCAAACTAATACAACATAAAAGTTAAATAAGGATTCTCTTTTGGTTTAAAAAAAATAAAATAAAAAGGCTGGGCATGGTGGCTCACACCTATAATCCCAGAACTTTGGGAGGCCAAGGCAGGAGGATTGCTTGAACCCAGGAGTTTTGAGACCGGCCTGGGCAACACAGTGAGATCCTATCTCTAGAAAAATTGAAAATTTAGTGTTGCACCCTCAGGACCTATCTCAGAAGAAATACGCAATAAATGTGTCCTAGGACTTGATCCAGCCTGGCCACATCTACTATTGAGCAGGAGCAGAGTTAGGAATAAGAATGTAGAAGGGTTGAGGATTCTCAAGTGGATGTCTGACAAGTTTCCTACAGCAGGGAGCTGTGAGGCCCCCAGTATCTGTCTCCAGGAAGAAGGTGTGCCTGGAGCTGCCATGCCTGCCTTACTCAAGCTATACTAATGGGCTGTGTATGATTTCCAAATGTGTATGTGATGCAGCAAAGTGATTTCATCTCCAGCAGAGAGCTGTGCTCTCAGGACACAGGGCAAAGCAGAGCGGTAACTAGCCACCTTCTCCAGCTGAGGCTCAAACCTGTCTCCACTGGGGCATGAGATAAAAGACAGAAAGAGCCATCAGCATTGGATGTATCTGAAATGTGGCTGCAGCAGGAAGAGTGATTTCAACAATCCTGCCTAACAGGAATAGGGAGGAGCTTCCTCTGGGCCAAACCATGCCAGGCCAGCACTTCCCAGGAAACCTGGGGCTCATGGCCAGAGAGGGATTCCCACCTCCAGCAGACTCAGTTAAGGACTGAGAATGTCCCAAATCTTGTTAATGATCTGTCATGAACTATTGTCTAGGAAATGTCCCCCAGAGGGGTGTTTTTCAGTTCTGTATCCCTAGGCCCAAGAAGATGGGACAGAGTTGAATAAATAAAATGTTATTAAGAAACCTGAGTGGTAGCAAAAGAAGGCTCAGGGCTACTTTTCCAGCAACCCCAAAACTTGCTACACAGACACCTCTACTTTGTCAAGGGGGCTGGGGAGATGGACATGGCAGTCAGGATGCTGATCACTCCGATTCCCTGGCCTCTCCTTTTCCTCCTTTTTGGAAATCTGTTCTCTAAGCATTTTGCTAGTTACAACCCCTTCTGACACAACAAAAGTGGGAAAAGAGATAAAAACTTTAATCAGATCAAACAAACTGCATCTGGCCACATCTCTTAGTGGGAGGAGATGGAAAATCAGGAACAAAATGGGCTTGGAGAGAAGCAAGCTTCCCACCCTGGTGGGGACAATGACTGGTCCTTTGATTCCCAGGTACTCATCTAAGGAACTCTCACCCCAAAGTCTTGTCATCCTCACCAGAAGTGATGCAAGGATGCCTCCTCCTAGCCAGTCCCAGAGCCAGAGCAGAGGAGGCACATTCTGCAGGGCCCCGTCCCTCCTTCCCTAGACAGAGCGGGGAAAGAACTCTGCCAGCAGGTGGAAACCCCCGTGACTCTGACACCTTCTCTCCACCACATCCTCTGGAGCTTCAGTGAGCTCAGGTTCATCTGGAGGATGACTCGGCCTCTGTGTGAGTATTGGATTTCACTCCTGGAGTTTCTGGTTCAGGAGGTCTGTGGTGGGGCCTGAGAATCTGCATGTTCTCAGATGATGCTGATGCTGCTGGCTGATGACCACCCCTTGAGAAACCACTGTTCTACCATGAACTCCTGGCCCCCTCCTGCCCACCATGCTCAAGACAAAGAAGGATGCTTTCCCCTTTTCCCTTTCCTGCACAACCCCCTGTTATCTGGTACCCTCAGAGCCATCTTCATCCTGTCTTTCCTCTTCCTGTCCTCAGCTGCCCCCAATGTACTTTTTTTTTTTTCTTCAGATAGGATCTCTCTCGCCCAGACTAGAGTGCAGTGCACCATCATGGCTCACTGCAGCCTCAACCTTCCAGGCTCAAGCCAACGCCTCCTGAGTAGCTGGGACCACAGGCACACGCCACCACACCCGGCTAATTTTTGTGTTTTTTGTAGAAACAGGGTTTCGCTGTGTCGCTCAGGATTGTCTTGAGCACAGGCTCAAGTAATCTGCCCACCTTGGCCTCCCAAAGTGCTGGGATTACATGCGTGAGCCCCCACACCCAGCCCCAATGTTCATTTAATAATGAGATCCATGTTCTGGATGACAATAGGACACACTGGCTACATACCCCATCAGAATGCTTTAGGCTCCTGGGCCTACCTGCCCTTCATCCTGCCCATACTACCTAACAGTGCACCTGCTGCGGACACCCTGGCCTCTGTCAACTTGCAGTGGTACTCACCTTGGCCTCTCTCCCTGCCCCTCCCTGCCCTTTGCAGCTCCATGCGCTAGAGTCAGGGACAGGACCCTGCCCAGCCAGGTGGGCAATGAGCAGAGCAGCAGGGCTGTTGCCCACTCACCGATGTAGTCAAAGCGTCCTGGGGCTAGGCGCTCCGGCAGGTGTGCAGAGTACAAGAAAGAGGCCAGGAGGGTCATGATCATGTGCTTCTGGTGGTAGGAGGTGGCTTCATTTTGTGCACTCTCCCCTGGGAACAGGAATAGCTGCAGGTGTTTAAAGAAACATCAGGTCTTGAGAGGACAGGCCTGAGGCAGGCCCTCTTCCTTCTCAGCACCTGCAGCTGGGACTTTGGGGGCTCTGACACCCACACACGTCAGCACACACACAAACTCCAGAGGCCAAGGCCCTCACCTCCTCAGGTCTGTGGCCTGGGAGAGGAAACTCAGGCACCATGTGAGCGGAACTCCTATCCTGAGTGTGGTCGATTGAGACTCGAGACTATTGTATTTCAGTCCCCCAAATGCTCATGAGAGTCTTTTGGGTTATTTACTTACTGAAGCGGGGAGAAAGAGGAAAGAAGGAAGGAATGGGAAAGGAAAAGAAAGACAAAAATCCTACTAGATAATTGGTACTCTTTCTGGGGGTAAAATGTAAGTACAATTGACTCTTAACATACAGGCTAGGGGCACTGACCTCCTGCAGTCAAGAGTCCATGTACAACTTTCACTCCCCCAAACTTAATTACTAATAGCCTCCTGTTGACTGGAAACCTTACCTGTAACAAACTGCCAATTAACACATATTTTGTATATGTATTATATACTGTATTCTTACAGTAAAGTAAGCTAGAGAAAAGCAAGTGTTATTGAGAAAATCCTGAGGAGGAGGAAGAAGAAAAGGGGTTGGTCTTGCTGTCTCCTGAGTGGCGGAGGTGGAAGAAAACCCATGTATAAGTTCAAACCCGTGTTTGAGGGTCAACTGTATAGTGGATTCACGCTGGAACTCACTTTTTATCAGCACATCCACTGAACTGGTGCTCCTAGTTAAGGCTTTAAGGCCTAGAAATCCCTGGAAGGCCTTCTGAGTCATCCAAAAGTATCAATCATGGCCACTATACTGTTTCAGAGCTAAGTGTAGTTTTTGTATTATTGTTATAAACAGTCATAGCAGCCTCCACTTACCGAGGGCAGCAAGCCAGGCCTCTTACGTGCATCATTTCACCTGAGCCACAATTATCATAAGGCAGACTCCATTTTCCCCATTTTGCAGATGAGGAGAGTGGGCCAGAGAGTGACTTGCATATCACTTAGGGAGAAGTGAAGTCAGGATCTGAATCCAGGCAGGCTGATTCCAGCATCAACATCGGCACTTAGAACTGGACCTCCCCTTCCCTCTGCCCTCCTCTGACTCAGCCACGTGCTAGAAGCACGCAACGCTTGTCACAACACAGGACTCACACTGCCTGATTTGGAGGCACATGGGACAGAATTGCTCTGTCTGCTCTTGGTTTCCTGTGTGCGGTCTGCGCCCTCGAGGAAGGAGTGAGGGGAATGGGCTACAGCCCCATCTTTGGTGCTCCTCCAGACCCACAGAGGCAGAGCACAGAGAACGTGCTCAATGCCCCAGCTGCTGGGTGGAGCTCAGCCCCTCCCCTTGTCCCTCAGCCCTGCCATCTGGGCTTTATTCTTCAAGCCCACAGGACACCACCTCTGGGAGGAAACTTCACTCACCAGGTACTGGATAAGCACTGCAGAGCCTATCAGATCCATTGTTTTGATTAATCCTCATTACCCCCTACAAAGGAGGACTGGTACCCTCATGTACAGATGAGGAAACTAATTTGAGGCTCAGAGAGTTGTGTGCCCTGCCTGAGGTCACACAGCCAGTGAGCAGTGGGACTAGAATTTGAACTCAAGCCCATCTGGTTTGAAAGTGCATGGACTTTCCCCTTCTTGTCCTACTTGCTGTCCCTACTATAACCTCTTCCTTTATGCTCTCCATCTCATTCCCATCGCTTGTTTAAGACCCTCGTTCATGCCTTTTCCTTCAGTATTAACAGTATACTGCTTGATGATGGAACAATGCATTCCTGAACTCTTGCTAACAGTCAGCACTTTACATGTTCTCCGTGTAATCCTCCCCACAGCCCATGAGGTGTTATCAAGCCCAGCTTACAGATGAGGGATATTGAGGCATAGAGAACTGGCCCAGGGACTGACAGCAAGTATTGGAGACCTGCCTGCAGAGCTCACTCTCCTGCTCACTCCACTCAGCCCCAGGCTGCCTGCTCTGCCTGGCTGTATGACATTCCTGAGCCCCCAGTCATATTGTCAGTCAGGGCCTCTGTGCTTATGCCATCTCCTAACCACTCCTCAAGTGCCACCAAGGCAGCACCTGGGTGCAGGGGAAAGAAAGATAGATCAGACTGTTACTGTGTCTATGTAGAAAAAGGAAGACATAAGAAATTCCATTTTGATCTGTACTAAGAAAAATTTTTCTTATTTCTTTTCTCAATCTCTCGTCCCACCTGACGAGAAATACCCACAGGTGTGGGGGCGCTGGCCCCCTTCACCTAGGTCTCGACTCCTGTTTTGTTCTACAGTTCCCATTGCAGTGCTGTGACCCCCAGAAGCTCAGGAAAACAACTGACTTCCTGGTGTTGCCAACAGGCAGAGAGGAGATACAGCCAGTCCTTACCCTGTAGAAGATGGGCAGGGAGTCCCACATATACGGATAAGCAAAGGCGAGCACACGAATCACCTTACAGAGTCTGGGCTTCTGGATTTCAAGAAACCTAAATGAGGGAAGGAAAGTGGGGAGGAAATGGAATGAAAAGAGTCTCAGTAAATTGCACACGCACATGCATGCACACCGAGGGCCTGGTCATCGACAGAGGACAAGCATTTTTGTCCAAGCTCCTGTGGCCAGCAGCTTCTCCACCAGCCTCATCCATTCCTCCCACCCCAATGGAAGTGACAAAACTTCAGATGCAAAAAGATCTCCAGAGACACCATCTCCAGACCATGGGAAGCAGTGGTGTCCAGACTAAGCCAGAAAGGAGGCGCTGGGCAGAAACCCTTTGAGGGCCAAGTTACATAACTGCCAAAGAGCCTTTTAAAACTCTAGTTGCTACCGGGACAGGGAATGAGTAGGGAGCTTCAGGGGATCCACTGCCACAGACTTTTGGGGGGCACACTCTGCAAAGGCTGAGATGCACCCATCTAGTTGGAGCCCAGGTATTATCACGCAGGAGGCCTGGGTTGAAGTAGGCATTTGATCCTTGGAGAGCTTTCTGGAATATTTATACCACACACAGGGATACTTGGCTTGGGAAAACTAAATAAATATGAAGTATTTCCTTCTCTTCTTTGTTGCCACCCTCACCCAACCTCCAATCCAAGACAGCTGACAGCAACATTAAAACAAGTGATGTTGATTGTTGAGAGGCAGGTCCCCCCAGACAGAACATGACAGGACCTCAGCTGACTTGGGCCCAGCCTGGGGCAGCAGCTCAGGGTATGGAGAACTGGGCCGCACAGAGGGCAGGCTGCACACTGGGAGGACGTGGGGATGGGCAAGGAGGATCTCTGCACAAAACCACAGCCCTGAACTGAGGCCTGGTTAAGGAAGTGCTCATGGGCCCTGGCTGGGCCACCAAGGCCAGGTAGTAGGGACAGGTACAGTCCCCACATCAATGCTGAGGTGTACTGTGGAGGGCTGTGTCCTCCCTCAGGGCCCACAGGGCTGCAGGGTAAGGAATCCAGCACAGGGGATGCAGAGCCACATGCCGAGGCTCTTGGGATGGCTGTTCTGATGCAGGCTGTAAAGGCAATGCGTGCATTTGGGCCCTTTCAGCCTTTGCTGACAGTTCTGCCCCTCATCACACTGGAGCGATGGGGTCTGGGTCCTGCTGTGGCTCCCACTCTGCTCCCAAGAACCTCGGGCCCAGTCCACAAGCCTGTTCTTTCTCCTTCAAATGCCATCTGCTGTTTCCTCTGAGCCCAGACGCATTTCCCGTGGCCAGGCTGTTCACATCTCGTGTGAGCCAGTAAAGCTACCTGACCATAAACCTGGCTGCTGCCTGTATCCCTCAGCATGGAGTATGCAGGGACTTCCACATCGGGCAGTTAGGGAGCGCTCCTCAGGCAGGCGCCAGGTCTGGTCAGGCCTGGATCCCGGGGACCCAGCACAGAATCAGGTCTAAGGATGTGGACATTGTCCAGGCTAGTGTGCTCCACTCAGTCCTCAGGGCATCCGAGCACAAACGGCCCACCCAGAGATTCCTGTTTCAGGGGAAAGGGATACCACTGTGTGCCCCAAGAAGCCTCACGGCCTCCCAAGACAAACTCCAACTTCACTCCAGCCCACTTTGGTGTTTCTTCTTTGCTGACCCTGCCTGTAAGTCATACATGGCACATGGCACGTGCCAGGTGAGAAGCTCAATGAGGAGGGACTAGGATGCATCGTCCCCCCAAAAAAGAACCAAACTCTAGGAGAGGTGAGGCAGCAGCACTGTGATTTCATGTGGAGAGCTTGATCGGGACACACTGGGTTCAAATCCTGACTCTGCCCTTCACAACCACGTGACCTCGGCTGGTCACTAACCTTTGTGTACCTCCTGATCCTCACGGGTGACACAGGGACAATGACTGTGCCTCGTCACAGCCTTGTTGTATGGATTCGATGAAACGATGCTCGTGAGGTGTTTAGAACTGTGCATGGTACAGTCACACAGACTAAATAGCAGCTTTTAAAAAACATGCATCGTGGAGCTCCATTCTCTCCCCCGCCCCACCTTGTATTGATGTTGGTCCAGAAAATAGGAACAGGAGGGAACAAACAGGTTCTGGGTGATTTGCCTGAAGTCATATGAGTCAATAAGAAGCAGAGCTAGGATATAAACCCTGGGCTTTCTGGTTCCCAAGTGTCACCCTCTCTGCCTCGGGCAGTAGGCTGGGTAGCCTCAGACTCCGCCCAGTCTTCACCCTTCCCTGCCCGCTCTGCCCCTGGAGCAGAGGGCATACACTCCTGCCATCCCGAGAGCCAGGTACCTGCCTCAGCGGCCTTCTTAGTCCTCCAGCAGACCCTGCCCGGCCGCGGCAGACCGCCCCCTCCTGCCCTGTACCCTGCCACGGCCTGCCCTCTCTGGGCTGAGAGGCTGGCTCTTAAAGGGCCCCTGTGGCCACTTACACTCGAAGAAATCTGGCTCTGGCTGGCGAAGGCCATCCCCCAAAGCATGGATTTTCTGTGACTTGAGACAACATTTCGCTCGGCCTGACAAAGTGTTTCCCCAGGGGCAAACGGACCAGCCTCTCCAGCTGCAAAGCCGAGTCTAGAGGGAAAAGAGGAGAAAAAGCAGGATAGAAGAGAGACAGCAACAGAGAGAAAAAGGCAGAAGGGCCAGTAGCTTGGGAGAAGGGCCGCCCGCTGCCAAGTTGCAGTTCCGCATCAGGCCACGCGATGTCGCCACAGCCAGAACAGAGCCGCAGCCACAGCATCCTCAGAGGCGCCCCACGCGCGGCCCCACAGCCCAGCCTGCTCGGGCTTAGGGCAGTCCCGCAGCAGAGGGCTAAGGGGCTGCTGTACAGGAAGTCAGGTCTCTGCTCAGAACAAGGTTGGCAAGGCACACTGAGTTGCGGGAGAAGCCTTCGTTAAGAGAGGGTTGATTCAACAGTCTGTTCTAAACCCTGACAACACAGCTGAAAGGACTGGCAACTGGAATTCCGGAAACTAGGGCTTGAAAATAGCGGGCCTTCGGAAAAATCATTTTATTGCAGAGGCGCACGCACGAGTGCACGTGTGTGTGTACATAAGGGCGGTGGTTATGGTTGTTTTCTTGTGTAGGAGTTGTCTTATTTTGGAGAACTGCAGGAATGTGGACATTTCCCCATGCCCGTACCTGGCCAATCCTCTGAGAACCATGTCTGCTGAGCCTTCTACCTCCTGCGCTGACCTCAAACCCCTTCCAGGTCAGCTCCACCCCTCTGAGCTGCCTCAGCAACTGCCAAGCTGTCCTTACAGCAGAGCTCATGAGTGAAAATTAATCTCTCGCCCTCACAGCTCTGACCAGCGGGTTTTTCACTCCGCTCTTTAAAAAAAAAAAAAAAAAGCAATCAATAGTTGGACGCATTGGATGGAGATGGACAATGATTTGTGATATACAGCACTCGCTGTGTAACTGACATTCGTGAAGGGAGTGGCAGCCCTTTCCTGTGCAGACATGAGCAGGCCAGGGCCTCGGCCACCCCCACCTTGCTCCAAGAACCATGAAGGCATGCATTCTCTCATTTCCCCTCTCAAATGCTACAGAATGAGAAGGCAGTTTTCTGGAACATATTCAATTGAACCAAAGTCCATGATAGTAAGAACCAAAAACCACTCAGGGTACGACAAAGCTATGTTGAGATTGGCCTTAATGGTCTGCCTTATAATGGAACGAATGCCATTTCAACCCTGATTTTCAGGCAAGCATCAGATAACTATCAAGCTAATACTGAGGTTCCTGGTCTCCCCCTGTGCTCCTGGGAGGGGAAGGTGGTTCTCTCCTGCTCTGCCCAACTACAGCTGGATAGAGCAGGAGGGAGAGGCAGGGGTGGAGCCTGGGAGAGGAAGACAGCTGGGAGAGGAAGCTTGGAGAAGACACTAAGGCACTGGCATTGCAGGATGCCCAAACCAGAGAGGACCCAGAGGATGTTGTTTCAGATGCCCTCACTGAAGATGCAGACCCTGAGGCCCAGAGGGGACAGTGACTGCCCTGAGGCCACACAGCAAGTCTGGGGGAGCAGGGTTGAAATTCAGGCCTCCCAGCACTTTGGGAGGCCGAGACGGGCGGATCACGAGGTCAGGAGATCGAGAACATCCTGGCTAACACGGTGAAACCCCGTCTCTACTAAAAAATACAAAAAACTAGCCGGGCGCGGTGGCGGGCGCCTGTAGTCCCAACTACTCAGGAGGCTGAGGCAGGAGAATGGCGTGAACCCGGGAGGCGGAGCTTGCAGTGAGCTGAGATCCGGCCACTGCACTCCAGCCTGGGCGGCAGAGCGAGACTCCGTCTCAAAAAAAAAAAAAAAAAAGAAATTCAGGCCTCCAGATGCCCAGATCCTCCTCTCTACCCACTTCTCCTGAAGTTACTCAGGGCCAGCATCACTTCTGCACGAGTCAGCTTTCTCACTCTCCAGACACTAAAGGCAGAGATAGGGAGTGAACAGAGTGGAGGACAGCTTGTAAGAGCAGCAAAACCACAGACAGGGGAATGTGGAGCGAGGACGAGGTACAAAGGGCACTGGAAGGGCCACAGCTGGAATGCCCACTCTACCTTTGGGTGCAAAAGTGTGGCACGTGCTCCCTTCCTCCTTTTTGCTTCCAACATAGCCCACCACCTCCCTTCCCCTCAGCTCCCACTTCTGTGGCTGTTAACATGCCTGGAAACCCCTCAGGGCACAGAAGCTGAGTGCATAGGATTTTTTTTTTCCCCTAGGCGACTCTCATCCTTCATGAGCAAAGGACCAGTCCTCATAGGACCCACAAGCCCCCAGCCCACCATCCAAGTCCCCCTGCAGCTGCTCTCCTCTATCCACTCCTGCAGACTCTGGCAACTCTGATGCACCTTGCTGCTTCCCGACCTTGGCCCACCCTCTCTGTAGTCTTCATCCTTGTCCTGGCTGGTTGCTCTGTCCTCCTCTTCAGCTAAAGTGTTCGACCTCCTTCAATATCCAGTCCTAATGCCACTTCTCAGAACCCTGTGTATCTCAGCAGGTGTCATTCTGCCTTATCATTATTTGTTTACACTCCCCCCCCGCTACACTCCGAAGGAAATGATGGCCTCATGGGCCTCTAGGGGCATCTGCAGTCTCTCTCCTACAGCACTGGGTGCTCTCTGAAGGCAAGGGCATCCTTCTGGCACCCCCAGCTCCTAACGTGGTACCTGGAGTATGGCAGATATTTAAGGAATGTTGGATGGGTGGGTGGGCGTGTAGATGGGTGGATGGATGGAATAGCCACAGATGTACTCCGTAAATAAATAATCCATTTCATTGGCAAAGGGAGAAGCCCCCAAACTCAGGCACCCAGGAGATGTCTGGCAAAGCTGCCCTGTCGGATAAGTTCCTCCAAAGACACCAGGCATGCCACATCCAAAAGACCCCATCTGTTATATCTGAACCATCAGGGAAGACTCCTGGCTAGAAGAAAGCAATCTAGGCTGAGCAGGGTGGCTCACACCTGTAATCCCAGCACTTTGGGAGGCCGAGGAGAGTGCATCACCTGAGGTCAGGAGCTCGAGACCAGCCTGGCCAGCATGGCAAAACCCTGTCTCTCCTTAAAAACAAAACAAAACAAAAATTAAAACCAGCAAGTGTTCTAAGAATCTGAATTATGAGCTCCTGGGGAAACCATCTTGGATCATCCATTCTGGAGACAATTTCTTTTTTTTCTTTGCTCCATTGCCCAGGCTGGAGTGCAGTGGCATGATCTCAGCTCACTGCAACTTCTGCCTCCTGGGTTCAAGCGATTCTCCTGCCTCAGCCTCTTGAGTAGCTAGAATTACAGGCACCCATGACCACACCCAGCTAACCTTTGTATTTTTAGTAGAGACAGGTTTTCACCATGTTGGCCAGACTGGTCTTGAAACCTGACTTCAGGTGATCCACCCACCTGGGGCTCCCAAAATGCTGGGATTACAGGTGTGAGCCACTACGCCCAGCCTCACTCTGGAGACTTTCTTCCACACTCACGACGCCTTCTCTTCCTCCTTTGCCCTCTCAACCTATGGTGCTCTCCCTGTCTAATCCTAAATTTCAAACATCAGAGTCACACAGCCCTAGGAGAGCCAACAGACAGGAGTAGTGACTGGTCCAAGGACCAGGTCCAAGAGTGTCCAGGTTCCTGGACCATGGCCGGTCCACAAGTCTATGCACCCAGGCCTCCGGGGCCTGCTTCATCTCTGCTGGACTTGTTTCCGCAGCGTTATTACTTTTCTATGTGTGCTACACCTCCCTTCATCCATGGCAGGGACTCCTAGAAAGAGACTTTCACTCCCATGGAAGGCAGCTCCATATTTCCAACCCGCCTCAGCACAGGCGAATGGAAAGCGAGTTGGAACAGGTATTCCCGATGCTGTTTCAGAATCTATCCTTCCATTTAAAAATAAAAAACAAAAACAAAAAAACTGGTTTGTCCTGTTTGTGAAACTTGCCTGCCCTCCCTTGTGAAACTTGCCGGCCCCACACATCCCAAGGGTCACCCAAAGGAAGGTGGAGACAAAATCATTCTGGAGAAGTTACCAGATGGGGCATATTTCACCTCCCTGTTTTTTCCTGGGGAGAGGGGGGCGAGTGGAGGCCGGGAGATTCCACTGGCTCGCTGGAGTTGCCGTGGCGGAGGACAGAGAACTCAGATGTACCTGCCAGCCTACCTTTCCTGACCAGCACCAAAGGCCTCCAGCCCAAAAGTACTGGCCTTGGCACTATTCAGCCAGGGCTGTCACCCCAACACCACCATTTGGGAGATTCCCTGAGTATTTTAGGGAAAAGGAACTTCGGGCAGTTCTTTTCTACAAAGAGCTGAATAAACAGGTGTAGTTATCCCCATAACAACATAACAACATTCTCTACACTCACACCCCAGTGAGTTTTCTTGAAAGAAAGAAAGAAAAAAAAAAAAACAGTGGGAATTAGAGCCAGTGAGTTGGGCCTGACTCACAGTGATGAGGGATGCATAGGGCATTTGAATAACACCATCATCCATCACATATGCCCAGAGGCAGGCACACCTAGTCACCATTAGTGACCGCACATTTGTGGGGCACCTCCTCTGTGCCAGGCTTGTGCTAAGTGTCCTGGGTACATTACCTGTAATTCTTCCATTTGCCTTAGGGGTATTTGTAACAGCCTCATTTTACAGATGAGCAAACTGAAGTTTGAGGTGGATAAGCGACTTGTCCAGCAATTGAAACAGTGTATCATTTGTAAAGCCTGGTACCAAATCAGGAGCCAGGGACCTCCTTGTTCAAAAATTATTACAAATTATTAAGAATGCAGCAGGACGATCCCAGGAAGGCGAGGCTGCAGTGAGCTGAGATCCCACCACTGCATTCCAGCCTGGGCCACAGAGGAGAGACCCTGTCTCAAAAAAAAAAAAAAAAAAAACAAGTCAGGCATGGTGGCTCATGCCTGTAATCCCAACACTTTGGAGGGCCAAGGTGGGTGGATCACCTGAGGTCAGGAGTTCCAGACCAGCCTGACCAACATGGGAAACCCTGTCTCTACTAAAAATACAAAAATTAGCTGGGCGTGGTGGCCGGTGCCTGTAATCCCAGCTACCTGGCAGGCTGAGGCAGGAGAATCACTTGAACTCAGGAGGCGAGGTTGCAGTGGGCCGAGATTGTGTCATCACATTTCAGCCTGGGTGACAGAGTAAGACTCTGTCTCAAAAAAAAAAAAAAAAAAAAAAAGGCAGCAGAGTATTAGCAGCAAGTATGAGGCTCTCTGAGCATGGAGGGCCTGGAGCTTGCATGCCCAGGAAGCTGGTTTTGCCAGCAATAGGAAGTCCACCTGAAACAGAGTCCTAGGTTCCCAAGCACCTTTTCCACTAGAGCCCACTTCTTTCCCCAGCTCCCTCAAAGAGGCACAGGGAGCTGCACCGAAAGACCCTCCCTCCCCTCCCATCTGAGGTCAGAGCGACCCAGTACCTGGAGTAGGCAGGAGAGGCCTGTGCTGGGGACGGTGTTCAGTACAGCCATGGCCAGTAGTAGTTGTGGAAGGTGGTGCACACCAGCGTGTCTGGGAACGTGTATGCAGAATAGGCAATGGCTGAGCCTGGGGAAGAAACACCAGCCTTTGGGAGAGGAGCCAGGGCCTTGCCACCATGTAGGCCCCTTGCAAAGACCGTCCCAGCATCTGACTTGGCCCCCCATCATTCCCATAGTCCTGGCTCTGTGCCCTTGCTGGGCCATTCCCCTTCCAGGATGTCCTCTCCTCTCTTCTCTGCCCACCCAAATCCCATCCTGAGAGTTTACTGTGAGCCTAGCTTTTGCTTCAAGGGCTTTACATATATGACATCACATAACACTTCAAACCATCCTCCTTTATAACTCTGTACTTATCCTCATTGCACAGATGGGAATGTAATCACTCGTCCAGGTCCTGCAGCTAGGGAGTTAGCCAAAGACGGCTTCAAACCCAGGCAGGTTAGTGACAGTCCCGCTTTTAGCCACATGCTGTGGTCCACGGATGACAGACCCAGCGAGCGCGAGCTCCACTCTGAGTGTGCACATCTCACTTGCCCAGGGACATGGGTGCTCCTGGGAGAAAGATCAGTGTTGGAGGAGAGGGCGCTTGCTGAGATGGAGGATGTCATATCAGCAGCTGGGGGACAGGCCAGCTGAGAGGCTGGGTGTTGCATTGTTGTTTTAGGTTGGAGTTTGTGAGAGAAGGGGTGCTTAAGACCTTCTAGAGACCTGTTTGTGAAGCATTTATTTGGAAGAGCAGGGGAGATCACTGTCCTTTTCAAAGAGGCCAGGTGTGGCTTCAGCTGGAGACGGGCCTGGACCTGCACCCTCACCTCCTGAGGTCTCCCCCAAGGGAGGCAGCCCAGGGCCTGATGGCCATGCCTAGGACACCTGTCATTCCAAAGACATCAGGAACCATGGAGTCCTAGCTCAGGGCTGAACAAGGCCTTAGGCCATACAGGTTGATCTCTGTCTTTTATCCCATTGATAGGTGGATCTAGCGAAGCTGGCCACACAGGCAAAGAGGGTGAACAGCAAAGCCTCCTGGTCCCATGTTCCCAGCTCCAGTAGGCAGCGCGCGAGATTTCAGTGGGAAGCTGCCTCCAGAGGGACAGGCAAGGCCTTCGTCTGGCCCCATACTGGGAGGGGGTTCCCTTCTGGACTGGGACACATTCGCTCAGCAGATGCCACCTGGGGCAAGCTGTGGGCCATACAAGAGCCAGGGAGCCTCTGTCCCTGCCCAGAACCGCAGCCAGAAGCAAAAGATCAGAGCCTGAGGGAGTGTGGGGCAGGCGCTCAGGATGGGTGGAGCACAAGGCACAGGAGCTGATCTTGGAACAAAGCCTGGCAGGTCATCTGGGATTCTGACAGGAGCCTGAGGGCAGGGAGGCTTTCAGCTTTGGGTGCAGGCTAGGGAAAGGGAACTTCCTCTTTCAGGCACTAAGGGAGTCAATGAAGGATTTTGATGACCAAAACCTAGTGAAAGCGCACAGGATGGCCTGAGGGAGGAACCCCTGGGAGCCTGGGAACACCTGTGGTAGAAGGTGTTGTGGAAGCCTCCAGGGGCCGGGGGAGGTGGAGAAGGCTGTGATAACTGTGCAAGTGAGAGGCCGGGGCCTGAGTCAAGACGAAGGGGCAGTGCCACTTACAGCAGGTAGGAGAGAAGTCACCTGGCCTTAATAACCAATTGGCCAGAGGATGGGCATGGGCGAGGAGTGAGAGGAAGGGGACCCCGAGGATTAGCGAGGCTTCTGACTGGGGAGAAGGAGTAGGGGCGTGACCATAGTCAGGCTGGACATACAGAACGGTAGCAGGTGTAGGGGCAGGGGCAGGAGCAGGTACAGTTCTTGTCTCATGGCTCTGAGGTGGTGTGGACCTCAGGTAAGAGGTCTACACTGGAGACAGGGCTTCTCCGGAGGTGGGAAGAGATGCACTAGGCTTGGAGGAGATCCCCGGGGAGCCAGATCATGTGAGAGGAGAGGTCAAAGGACTACTTCTGAGCCTCCCCGCCCATGTGTGCTGGAAAGCAGAGGAGGGGAGCCAGCCCAGGGGAGGGGGGACATGGAGGGTAAGAGGGAATCCGGAGGGTGGGAGGGGACCCAGGAGGGAGGGAGAGATGTGACAGGGACCAGAGAAAGAGAGGGGCACTGAGGAGGCCTGAAGTATCCCTGTGTCAATCTCGGCAGTCAGAAGGCTGGGACCCTGGACAGGGGCACGCACATTCCCTGCTCTCTTCTGCAAACCCATCAAACCCTGAGGGTAAGCCTGGCTCATACAGAAAGGGGCAAGGTCTGGTGAATGCTGGGGACTGGACAGCAGAGTACTGAGGAGTGGGCAGTGAAGCGGGAAAATGTGTGTGTATGTGTGTGAGTGTGTGAGTGAGCATGTGTGTATGTGTGGTGTGTGTGTATGTATGTGGTGTGTGTGATGTGCATGTGTGTGGTGCGTGTGTGTGATGTATGTGAGAGTGTGAGTGTGTGGATGTGTGTGTAGTGTCTGAGAGTATGTGTGCATATATGTGCATGTGAGTGTGTATGTGGTGTGAGTGTGTCTGTGAGTGTATTGTGTGCATATGTCAGTATGTGTGGTGTGTATGTGGATGTGAGTGTGTGTGGAGGGTCTGAGAGTATGTGTGTGTGTATGTGAGTGTATTGTGTGTATGTGTTGTGTGTGTATGTGAGTGTATTGTGTGTGTGTCAGTATGTGTGGTGTGTGCGTAGTGTCTGAGACTGTGTGTATGCCTGTGAGTGTATTGTGTGTATGTGGTGTGAGTGTGTGTATGTGAGTGTATTGTGTGTGTGTCAGTGTGTGAGTATGTGTGGCATGTGGTGTGTGTGTGTGGAGTGTGTGCATGTAAGTGTACTGTGTATATGTGGTGAGTGTGTGTATGTGTATGTGTGAGTGCATTGTATGTGTGTCAGTATGTGAGTGTGTGTGTGAGTGTGAGTGTACGTATATGAAGAAAGAGGACGAAGGTAGGCTCCTCATGGACAACCTTTTGGGCAAGGAAGACAATAATTGGTTTTCTCACCTAGAATGGGACCTGGAGGAAGAATCTAGAACTCATATCCTTTGGGACAGATGCATGCCCACAAGGGGAGGAGAGGAGAAAAGGCTGGAGGAGGGCGCATCATAGTCAAAGAAAAAGACAAGGAAGAGGGGACAGTCAGTACCCATTTTCACCAGCTTAGGCTGCTGCTCTATTCCTGCACACTCTGAGCATCTCTCTGATTGCTCTAAGCCTCTGGACATATGAGGCTCATGAGCTCACCCTCCTCCTCTTGCCTGGCATGACAGAGACTAGCACTGATGTACTAGAGTCAGTTCATTCTGGCCTGTGAGAGAGCTGAGTGCTGAACATAGCCATCATTAAAAATTAAATCACATAAACTTGCAATTAAATAAATCCTATTAACAAAAGTACTGAGTACTCAATGACTACATCTACTGTATCTGCATGGTGGAATTTCTATAATGGTGTGCTACGCATATCTCTTCCCCCCCTTGTGTTCTATGATGTCATGTTGGTAGGTTAAAGCTGGCCATGATGGGAAGATTTACACCATAGAAACTGGCAAACACCACAGATCAGGGCTGTTGTGGCTAAATATTTAGCAGTGTGCTTATGGACAGTTTCTTATAAAAAACCCACTGGGAACCTGGACAGGGGCACTGGCATTCCCTGGACTCTTCTGCAAACTCATCGAAGCCTTCCAGTGACCTTAGCTCCCAGGAGAAGGGGCAAACAGCCCGCTTGCAGGGGAAGGAAAGCAAGAACAAGGCCTCACATACCCAGGCTGAAGAGGTTGACGGCGCCATAGTCCAGGAAGTAGCAAATGTGCCGGGCATTCTTGGACATAGAGCTGAAGGTGTGTGCACAGCTGGACGCAAGCGGGTACACGCAGCTGGTGCACATGTACACAAGCATGGGCCAGGAGTAGTTGTCATTCTTGATGTCTGTCACATACAGTGCAGTCACAAACCTCCATGCAAAGAACCTGGAACACAGAGGGCCCACTCACCTCCACGATGAACACAGAGGGCCCACTCACCCTCCACGATAAACAGAGGGCCCACTCACCCTCCACGATACACAGAGGGCCCACTCACCCTCCACGATAAACAGAGGGCCCACTCACCCTCCACGATGAACACAGAGGATCCACTCACCCTCCACGATGAACACAGAGGATCCACTCACCCTCCACCATGAGCACAGAGGGCCCACTCACCCTCCACGATGAACACAGAGGGCCCACTCACCCTCCATTATAAACACAGAGGGCCCATGCGCCCTCCACCATGAACACAGAGGATCCAGTCCCCCTCCACCATGAACACAGAGGATCCAGTCCCCCTCCACCATGAACACAGAGGATCCACTCACCCTCCACCATGAACACAGAGGATCCAGTCCCCCTCCACCATGAACACAGAGGATCCACTCACCCTCCACGATGAACACAGAGGGCCCACTCACCCTCCATTATAAACACAGAGGGCCCATGCGCCCTCCACCATGAACACAGAGGATCCAGTCCCCCTCCACCATGAACACAGAGGATCCACTCACCCTCCACCATGAACACAGAGGATCCACTCGCCCTCCACCGTGAACACAGAGGATCCACTCGCCCTCCACCATGAACACAGAGGATCCACTCACCCTTCACCGTGAACACAGAGGATCCACTCACCCTCCACCATGAACACAGAGGATCCACTCACCCTCCATCATGAACACAGAGGGCCACTCACCCTCCACCATGAACACAGAGGATCCACTCACCCTCCATCATGAACACAGAGGGCCACTCACCCTCCATGATGGAAGCTCCTCTTAGATCCTCACCTATCTACTATCTCCATTCCCTCGCGATGACCAATTCCTTTGTGTTCTCACTTTGGGGAAATACGGTGTGTTAGGGAGGTGGGGGGGTCCTTTTTTAATTGGGAGGCAGTATGTTGGGAATGGGCAGGTGAAGTAAGAAGAGAAATAGCTGTTATGTATAGGTTAGTCCAAATCCCTGAGTGATTCTCCAGCGCTCAGCTTGCATGCTCAGGTGTGTTGTGTGTTTTTGGGGATGGGTGTGGTCATTACCTCCCATTAGGCAGCTTCTCTTGAGGGGCTGGGAATAGTTCTCCTGTCGTTTGTGCTCATAATCTATCTTTCTCTGTTTCTCTCCATTTCTGTTTAGGCCTATCCCCCCACCAGGATCACAGAAAACGCCGTGTGTGTGTGTTGTGTTGATGTGCTATGTGTTTTTTGTGTGTTTTGTTGTCTTTGTTGTTTTTTTTGATGATGAGTTATCGCGTCTGTCTCGTAGGCTGGGGAGTTCTGTGAGTGCTACGATCGCTTGTGCTTCACTGCAACCTCGTCTCCTGGGTTGTCACGTGGATTCTCCTGCCTCGCTGCGTCGAGGTAAGCTGGGTATTCTACGAGGGACCCGCCACCACTCGTGCTGGCTAATTTTGGTAGGGTTTCGTACGTAGAGACGGTTTCACGGATGTTGGTCCAGGATTGGTGTTTGATTCTCTGACCTCTGTGATCTGCCACCTCGGCCTCGGCCGCAGAGTGCTGGGCATTACAGGCGTGAGCACTGGCGCCCGGTTCCGCTATCATAATTTTGTAAGGCGAGTCTTGTCCTACGCCCCCTGTCTCATCCTTCCGTTGAACTTCACATTAAACAACGCTTGGCTCGCCAGTTTCCTTCAGCGCATTCCTTGCAGGATGCTAATTTGAGCCTTACACCATCCTTGTTGGTTGTCCTTGGTCTCAACTGTAGTTTATCTTGCCCTCTGTAGATGTCGTCTCTCAAATGAGCACAGATCAAATGCCCCGGTGGGAACGCTTGCCGAAGGGCCCAGAGAGCAAAGAGGGGACTGATTTTTACTCCTTCCTCCTCCCACACTGTTCCTCCATCTGAAGAGTTATCAAGCTCAGCTTTGTTCTGAATAGCTAGTCCACACAGCCCTGGACTCTCAGCAGAGCCGTATGATTCTCTATGCAGAGACACATTGCCACAATTCTTCACCATGATCTGCCTGACCTGCAATCCACACATGAGGTCCCGCCTGCAGAACACCTCACTTCCACCACCCGCGCCTAGAGAGCTGGCTCCCTTTCCCACTAACTCCTCCAAGGAAGGAGACTCTACAAAGTTTTTCATATATAGGAGCTGAAGGAGCATTGCTAAATCCTTCCAGCTACACTTGTGGTCTTTTCATTTTTGTCCCAGCGGAAGTAAAGCTTAAGCTATTTGCTGTTTCTCAAAACGTATCCTTCAGTCATTTCAATGTTTTGGTGGTCCCATTTCCCTAGGGCATCTTGATCCAGACCTTCCCAAGTCCTTCCTGCTACTCTCTGTTGCTCAGTCAGGATCATCTCTGAGAGCCTGGCACAGTGTAGAGGTGCATAGGCAGTGCTGGGGGTGAGGGGGTGCGGCTCACCCAGCTTGGCTCAGCTGTAAAATAGCAAAAAAATCACCCTACAGGGATCCAGGCATGCAGCACAAGACCCACAAGCAGGGATGGACAGGCCGGTAGCCTTTTAGCAGCTCAAATCTCAAAACAGCCTAAATCAACCATGATTCATCCAGAAAATGGAACACCAGGCAGATGTTCCAAAGTCCAGGAGACATGCAGATTGCAGATGCTGACAGAGTGAGATCTCCAAGGGAGGGAAGTAAGGGGAGGGCAGCGGGGAAAGAGGCAGATGCTGGGGACACTCACAGCACAGATGCTCCTGAGTCCCCAGAAAAGCTGCAGAAGGACACACAGGAAGCAGGTCCCCCTGGCCACTCCAGAGAGGAGAACTGGGGCCAGTGGCAGAGTCTGACTCTATTCCCTTCCGAAGGGTTATAATTTATAAGCACGTATACTTTTAAAAATGACAGATGGCCCCTAGAGCAGGGCTGTGCTGCCACCCCTGCCCAGTCCGCAGGCCCAGGGTTGCCACGCCCCTTTACAGATCACCCTAGTCCACACCAGACTGAGCTCTCTCCTCTCTCCACCGAGCTGGCTGCTGGAACCAAACAGCCTGCCCCTGCATTTTGGCCCTGGGTCTGTCTTCTGATTTTTAGTCGGGCTGGCTGCCCCTGTGCGGGGAGCCTGGGCCCATCTGCACGCATGGCACACTCCTAATCTCTTCTCACCGTGACTAGAGGGAGTCCAGTGACCAGCCTGTGACACAGCGCCCCTGCATGACATAAGGAAGCCACCCCTTCTCTCGGCTGTGTCTACGTCGACCAATGGTGGTCTGAGTGGGACAGTGGCTTGAATGGCCTCTGAGTTCTTCCAGCTCAGATCCACTGTGATTTGGTGCTTTGACCCTGTCTCCATCCTTCATTCATCAAGCAAAGGTGCGCAGTGTGTGACATTGGCCTTCATCCCCCACCTTTCTCAGCAAGGCCCCTCTTCGCTTCCCTGGCAACTCCCATTTCTGCGCACAGGCTTCCCGGAGCTTTGCTCTTAGCTAGCTCCACCTACAGGCTGCCAAATGAAGTGCCTCCCAGTTGCCATGGTTCCCAGAATGATTACGGAACACCCACAGCTCTGTGCCAGATGCCTCTGCCAATGTTTTCTCCCGAAACTCTCACAGCAACCCTTGGGGAGGTGCGGACCATCACTCCTACTTTGCAGGTAGGAAAATGTGAGGCTCAGAGAGGTTGACTTCCTCAAACTAGTGACATTTTAACCAAGGCTCCTGAAAAACCCGGAAAGTCTCCAAGACTGAAGGAGGTGAAGGTAAATGCTATCATATCAGGCATGAGAGCAGGGAGCCGGGAAAGACTGAGGCAATTTTGGGATTTTCCCTCAAATCCTACCCCAGTCCATGCCTTAAAGGTCATCCCAGTGGCACACCCAATGTCTCTTCCCTCTGTCACACACCCCCTTCACCCGTGTGTACCCATGGGGGATCCCCAAACCCCAGCACAGAATCTCAGCCATCTCAACACTAGCTGTGTTAAGACTCCCTGATCTCCAGGGCTCCTGAAGGAGACAGGCCCGTCAAGGGGGCCAGAAGGTACCAGAAGGGCAGCAAGTGAGTCCAAATGTTGAGAGTCTCATTGGTCATTTGGAAAAGGCTGAGGATGCAGGCAGTGGCAGAACTCTGTGGATGGCGGTAGCCGAAGAGGATGCCTTGCTCATGGAACACCTGCAGAGGCAAAAGGAAAAGGACACTGAGGTGAGACCAGAGGGCAGCACGAAGGTCTCTGGAGAGACATCTTCCAGGCCGTGCACTGTGTGCCTGGAACGCTTGACCCCGAGTCCTTGACCTGTTAAGCTGTTCCCCTCACTCTCTCCTTCCCTCACAGTGGCTTCTAAAATCCCACATCCTCCAAGAAGCCTCCAGCCAGCTGGAGGAGGGAATTCAAGGGCCAGGCTCCCTTTGGGAATCCAGCCTGTCTTTGCATTCCCTGGCGTACTTACTCTTGGCATGAATCTTGCCTAAGAATCCGTTTTCCTACCCCTCTGCCTGGGGCCTACAGCCCGGTTTTTGGACGCCGTTTTGGTGAGCTGACATAGATGCTGTCTGTCTGAGCCGGCAAGCCCGGCGTGTCAGGGGCTGGTGGGAAGAACTCTGCAGAAGATGTCCCCGGTGCCAGGGTATATTCACCAAGGTGCTTCATAAAGGGCTTTTGATGATGAGGACCGTGATGCTGATGCCTGGGCTGCAGGAAGAGGAGGTGGCTGCCCACAGCACGGCTACTCAAACCACTGCCACCCCCATGCAGCCCATTTGGCAAGTCCCCCCCCAAAAAACACCCCCACTGAGAAACCTGAACTGATCAGGTGAAATATGGGGTATCAACCTGCCTGGAGTATTGTATTACATCCACTAAAAGTGGTGAGAAGATAATGAGGCCAGAGGGACAACAGCCCAGGATGCAATAAGAGGTGAAGAAACGTGGAATTTAAACTGTATTCCTGCCACAGTTAGAAGAGCTTGGGAAATTGAAGTTTACACCGTGGGGCAGAGGCTGGGAGGAAAAAAAGTGGTGTTTAATTTGTTGAGGTAGTAGGATGGAAGGAGACCTGTTTTCCCCTTCTCTGTTGATTTAGACCAAGGGTTCTCAATTTTGACACTATTGACACTTTGGGCCAGATCATTGTTTGTTGTGGGGGCCAACCTGTGCATCCTTTCACAGAATCCATGGCCTCTATCTGCTAAACGCCACTAGCACACACTGTCGGCACCCTACCCCCCAAGTTGTGACAAACAGAAATGTCTCCAGATATTGCCAGATGTCCCCTGGGGGCTAAAGTAGCCCCCAGGTAAGGACCACTGATTTAGATAAGTGTTGCCATACCCTTTGAAACGTAAATTATAAATGAGTAGGGTAATTGAAGCAAATAATAACAATGATAATGTTAGTAATCATAACCTAAATCAGGTCACAATAAGTTGCAAAGCCTCTCCTTTGAATTTCTAGGGCTGTGAGGGGAAGGCTAGAGGAACTTCAATCTAGCCACCCATTTCTCATTTGGGGTGCCAACATCTTAGTGTAAGAGAGGTTCTCTGCTAAAAAAAAGTACAATATATAATACCAGAGTTTGTGCTATCTCTTTTTTTTTTTTTTTTTTTTTGAGACAGGGTCTTGATCTGAAGCCCAGGTTGGAGTGCAGTGGTGCAATCATGGCTTACTGCAGCCTCAAACTCCTGGGCTTCAAATGATCCTCCCACCTTAGCCACCTGAGTAGCTGGAACTACAGGAGTGCCACCATGGTCAGCTAATTTTTTTATTTTTTTTATTTTTTTTTTGTGACGGAGTCTCACTTGGTTACCCAGGCTGGAGTGCAGTGGTGTGATCTTGGCTCACTGAAACCTCTGCTTCCCAGGTTCAAGCAATTCTCCTGCCTCAGCTCCTCAAGTAGCTGGGATTACAAGCGCATGCCACAACGCCTGGCTAATTTTTTGTATTACTAGTAGAGACGGGGTTTCATCATGTTGCCCAGATTGGTCTCGAACTCCTGACCTTAAGTGATCCACCCACCTCGACCTCCCAAAGTGCTGCTGGGATTACAGGTGTGAACTACCACGCCCAGCCTAATTTTTTATTTTTTGCAAAGACAAGGTCTCACTATGATGCCCAGACTCATCTTGAATTCCTGGGCTCAAGTGATTCTCCCATCTTGGCCTCCTAAAGTGCTGGGATTAGAGATGTGAGCCATTGTGCCCAGCCTTGTGCTATTTCTTGGGGTTCCAAGTCAAGTAGTCACATGGAACAGTGCAGAAGGTGAGGGGCTGCCAGAGTAATGAGTCAAATCTGGGCTCCCAGGGCGCCATGTGGCCTTGAGAAAAGTGAAGCTGAGGCCCTGGGTCACAGCTCTCAGGGCCTCTGTGTAAAATGAGAGGGCTTGGCTAGCTGAATGGTCGGAACATTCCCTTCCAGCAGTAGCTCCAAGTTTTAGAGAACTCTTAGTTCAGTTCTGGGTTAAACTGGTCAACTAGAGGGAGGGGATATAATGAAGTTGGCTCATGGTCCAATGAAGAAATACTATGAATTCGGTTTGGGTCTTAGGTAATTAAAGCGATTTGTTCCAGTTTTTGATTCACCATTCAATTCTGCTGACGCCCCGGTTTATGGTGGACAGATTCCTATAATGGGCAGCAGGAATCTTGAGTTGCAGATTTCCACCCCACCAAGGCTGATGACAAGGAGGCAAATAGGCCAATGGCCTTCAGCCTTTGATCCCTGTGGAGGAGGACGGCATGTGCTTGGCGGGGCTCAGAAAGCCTTCTAGCAGAAATAACAGCTCCCAGGAGCTCCACACTGGGTCTGTCCTTCTACCTTTCAAGCTTCTTTCTCTCTTCTTTTAAAGTCGTTGTTTTATAATTATTTATTAAAGCACTGGCCACTGGTTACAATGCAGACTCCATTAATCACTATTTATTCCTTCATATGAATTAGACTAGCAGATCCTATAAACCAAGAGACTTTGTGACAAGGGGCCAGTGAGAGCAGAAACATTTCAGAGCACTGGGAATGTGGGGACGGTGGCCTGCAGGAAGGAGGCCGGGCAGGGCTGCAGGAGAGCACAGACCCTGTGACAGCCACAGTGGCAGTGGCTGAACAGAAGCTGGAGGAAAAGGTCACTCACAGTCTGTGACGACTTCCTTTCTCTCTGTGGATCCCGGCATTCCAGCAGGCAAAACCGGGGGGACTGATGTCGTCAAAAGCCAGGGGGGAACAGAAGGGAAATCCATACACTGGACAACTTGACCTCATTTAGGAATCTGGCCCCAGACCTGGGGAGGATATTTTGCCACCAAAGCCAGGGCTGGGCCCAGATTAAAAACACCTGCCTCCACCTGACCTGCTACGCTGACCCCAGAAAAGGATGGGAAGCCCAATACTGGCCATGCAATAGGGGCAGGATTCAAAGCAGCCTTTCCAAAAAAATAAATGGATGGATAAAATGTAGTAAAAGGAGTCCCTCTGTCCCGGGACAGTGATGTTCCAGCTTAGACTAAGAAGACTGACCTGTCCCTGCCCTCCCCAACTTGAACCTCTGTCTATCAAACCCCATTGCTAGTTCTTAGTTGTACTCCTGCCCTGAGCTCCTGTGAGCACAGGAAAGGAGAAACATTCTCTCCGTCTTCCCACTCTAGCCTTAGCAAAGTGCTTTGCCTAGAGCAGACCTTCATAGAATGCAGGGTACATACATTGAAAGGACAAACTAAATATTTGACAGCAATGTTGTATTCCAAACCCAGTTTGACCCCAAAGGAAAACTGCAATCATTTCCTCAACACTTCGTAGCTTGGCCTCATTTCTAAGCGCCCCCAAGTAAGCAAGTGCTTGCTTATTTGCACAGCAGAATTGATTTGTAGGACTCCATCTTGCACCCCTAGTTGCAGGCTGAGCAATTTAGAGTGAAATGAAATCAAATCATATGAAGCCTATCATTTAGAACTGAGAACCCCCAGGAACTAGGAGCGGAAGGGCACATCAGCAAGTTTTCCCTTTCAGTTCCTGCCCCAGGCTCAGCATCGAGGAAAGTCTTCTTGCATGGCCAAGACTTGTATGCACCTGCTAGCCGATGCCTACAATTCCACCGTGACAGTTAAAAGCTTTTGGTTTTTCTAGCTATTAAACTGCAAACCACCTAGAGAAAATCATTGGGCATTTTTGGCCAGCTGTAAATAAGGGCAGATTTTGATAGCAGGGAAAGGGAAGAGGCAGAGTGGGATCAGGGGGCCTCAGGCGCTATTCACATGAATTCTGTAATTCCTGCTTACTGAATCCTCACAACCAGCTTGTGAGGAAGAGCCTTTTGTTGTCCCCATTTCACAGAAAAGGAAACTGAGGCCTGGAGAGGTTAGGGCACTTATTCAAATTCTCAAAAGTAACAGAAGCAAAGCTGAAACCTAAAGGCAGACAGCAGGCTCCATTCCCTGCCCTCTTGTGCACTGTCCTTCATTGCTTCCCCTGGGGAGGGCTCTGTCAAGAGATAAAAACCCTTATCCCCTGGGCTGTACTGTGATTTTGGACTGTGACATACTTCTCTGAGCCTTAGATTCTTCTTCTTTAAAGTGCCATTATGAACTAAATCTGGGAGGGAACTGTGTCCCTCCCAAAATTCATCTGTTAAGTTAAAGTCCTAACCCCCAGGACCTCAGATGCAACTGCATTCAGAGATAAGGTCTTTCAAGAAGCCATTAGAGTGGGTCCTAATCCAATCTACCTGGTGTCCCTCACAAGAAGAGGACATTTGAATTCACAGAGAGACACCAGGGATGAGCGCCCACAGAGTGGTGACCTTGTACAGAGGCAGCAAGAGAGTGGCCATCTGTAAGCCAAGGAGAGAGGCTCTGCCCCTGTCCAAACCTTGATCTTGAATACCTTTCAGTCTCCGGAACTGTGAGAAAATAACTTTCTGTTGTTTAGACCACTCAGTCTGTGGTATTTTGTTGTGGCAGCCCTAGCAAACCAATACAAACGGTGAGGTTGTGCAAGCCAGCGCCTCTCAAACTTTCTTCTAGTGTGTGCAGAGCACCTGGGCACCTTACTGCAGTGTGGTGGCTGGGGCGAGAGTCTGCAGTTCTAATCAGCTCCCAGGGCCTGCTGATGCTACAGCTGCCTCTGGCTTCAAAGCCAGACTCCCACCCTAGCATTGTGCTGTCACCTTCCTGCCCAGAATCCAGTTCCC